GGTGACACCACACACACACGCGAGTATGTGGGTATATATATATATATATATATATATATATATATATATATATATATATATATATATATATATATATATATATATATATATATATGAGCATTACATCAAAATATTGTTTATAGTTTTTGTCTATAACATATCTCATAGGTGATAGCCCTCTGATCACCTCTTCCCTTAACGCCCAGAACCTAGCTTCTTTTCTATCAATTGCTCTCTTTGCTTTTCCATGGAAACCTTTACCCCTTTGGCTCTATCCTATCATGAGACCTCATTGTTTCTTGAGGGACGATGAAAGAAATAGAGACATTGAAAAAGGATTGAGAGAAGATGAATGAAATGAAGAAGAGAAGCATTTAGGGCATTACAAGAAAAATTATCAAATAAGAAACTAAAAACTAAAAACTAGGGTATCGTTTTTAATAATAATAATAATAAGTATCATTAATATCATATAGAGTTTTAACTAAAAGATAAATGATAATTAAGATAATAATCAACCATAATGATACATATAAGATTTTGCAATGATAAGTATGCTAACTTAAATTTAAATAGACAAATGAAAAGATTAATTATTTTGAGCAATACATAATGTCGCCAATACTCAAATACGCTCATGAAAAAGATCCTCACTAATTAAAATACAAACAAAAAAAGACGGCCTTTTTTTCCTCTCCTCTCTCTCTCTCTCTCTCTCTCTCTCTCCTCACCCCCTCTGCCGCCGCTGCCACCGAAGCATGACCAGCTCCTCCGCTCCTTCTCGCAAGGTTTGTCGCGGTCGTGGTCGTCGACCTCCTCCTCCTAATTCTCTTCCGATCTCTGCTCCTCCTCCTGTCTTCCGGATCTCCCCTTCTTCTTGTTCCAAAGTTTACCTAATTTGGTGATCCTCTCGCAGTCTCTGAGCAAGATCGCGTGCAACAGGCTCCAGAAGGAGCTGGTGGAATGGCAGGTCAACCCCCCCGCCGGATTCAAACACAAGGTCACCGATAACATCCAAAGGTTGAGTCTTGAGCCTTGTCCTCCCTTTTTGTCCGATTGTTGGTTCGTTGGAACCTAATTTTTGGCTGACTTTTTGTTCTTTTGGCTTAAAGGTGGGTCATCGAAGCGATTGGCGCGCCGGGGACGTTGTACGCGAACGAGACGTACCAGCTTCAGGTCGATTTTCCGGAGCATTATCCCATGGAAGCCCCGCAGGTGATGAGTTCTTTGGATTTTGTCGATGAAGGTTTCGTCTTTTAGGGTTTCTTGCGATTAAGTTGTTGTTTATGGGTTTTGATCAGGTCATATTTCTTCATCCCGCGCCTCTTCATCCGCACATCTATAGCAACGGGCATATCTGTTTAGGTAATTCTTATTGCACTTGATGGTAAGGTGGATCATGGTCTGATCGAAAATTTTGTTGTTATTATTCTTGCAAATGTAGTGTAACGAAGTATAACTGTATATCATGTTCTCATGGTGGCTCCTTTCTTGAATGGACAGTTTGAACTTTTATTATGTTGGAAGCTGATTTGATTGTTGGAAGTATGGATCTTTATAATGGGTTTTTTAATGAATGATGAGCGCATCTTTTTGTTAATTGCTTTACTCATTTAGTTACAGGATTCTGATTTCATATAGTTAATTCTGTCAGTATTACATATTCACTCTATTGCATGCCGCTACTGAGGAAAACCATGTCCGCTTCTAGGATGCAATTTTTTCATTTTTTGTTCTTTTTTTTTTGTCTTGTCAATGATGCAAAAAAAGGAAAAAAGGTTCTGATAACTAAAGAACAATGCTAACTGGTGTGTATCCAATAAAAGCAACTGCATATTTTGTCTGGTTTCTTTGCTGAAGCTCATTTTGGTTTCCACATAGATATTTAATTTGTGAGGAATCTTATATAGACTTAGGAAGTTTCAAGGACTTGCAATTTATTTATGATGCATATCATGATGCACATTTTTAACATAGAGAATAATACGAAGTAGGATCGCCGTTTCGGATACCAAACTTGTTTCGGTGATCTGGTCAGACCGGTGTACCGGTTAATATTGGTATATTGTGTGTCGGTACACTAGTATGTATCAACGCTTTGGAGAGAAAGAAAAAGGAGAAGTGGAAGGGCAGGTGGAGGAAGATGAGGAAGAACGAAGGAGGAAGAGGAGGGAGAAGAAGGAAGAAGAAGAAACGATGGTGGAGGAGAAGGAAGAAGACCAGGAGGAGAAGAAGTGGGAGTGTACCTGTGAAGAAGGAATGCGGCAGCAGCGGCAACAACTTTGAATGAGAGAAGAGGGCTCCCATTTGTGAGCCCTAGTTTGTGTTTTAGGTTTTTCTCTTTTAATGCTGAGTTGGATGGGCCCCACCACTATTTTAGGTTTTTTTCAAAATTTTTTCTGAGTTGGATCAGGCTGCCCGAAGCAGGGGTTGTCCGCGTATTAGTTCATGCCCGAACTGGTACGTACCACCCATTTCATACCATTTTGGGTGGTATAACAATCCTTGATAGGAACTATCCTGATAATTAAATTAGACCAGGCTGACCATCTTATTCTTGTAAAGCATGACGAGTTTGAACTTCATATGTTGTCTATTAAGCATCATCAACTCTTTGAGGGAGTTGTACCATTGTATTGAGCCTCCAAAATTGGAAAATCAATGTTAGTGTGACTAACTTAAGTTCTAGTTTTTCAATATATCTTCGCAATGCAATAATAATAGTTGTTTTTCACTTTTCTTGTTTTCATTTTTCCTATTATGAAGTTTGATGAGACAGAATGAGTTTCAGATTTGCACTAGATTAAAGGATTATTTTCTGAAGATTTTGGTGGGATCAGATTGCTGGTTTGGTTTCGCAAGTGAGAAATGGACTAAAAATCATGAATAGTGGTAAAAACATTAATACATAACAGGAGATGGGCATATAGGAAAATAGGGAACTCATGAATAGTGGTATTGCAGAATCAATGAATCATGTGTGGTGTACAATCTAGGTAAGGAGTAAGTACTGAAAAATAATGAATTTGTCAAGAAAAATCACATGTACATGCCTTCAGGAGTAAGTAGGGAGCGGGTTTTGATGTTTTGTTGGTATTTGATGAAAAGTGTTTTTAAACTGTTTTGAAACAAATCTTCTCTTAAGCAAAAACTATTTGGGAACTGGTATACATTGTAATGAAGGGAGTGGGTTTTGCTATTTGGAGCAGAAGTTGTTGTTAAACTGTACTTTGTATTGCTGCTGGCGCATAGATACTGGTCTTTTTTAAATTGCTCCAACTATGATAGAGTTTATTATTAATGATGCATACAACATATAAAATGGATAGTGACTGCTTGAGTTAACCAGGTGTCCTAGGCCAGAGGCATGTGAAGTTCTGCATTTCATTATTAGTGCCACGCTATAGCCCACCACATTTGCAATAATTCACACATTCTCCCAAAATCACTAAGGTTTTTGTAGCATATAAGTCCATGGTGGACAAAAGCAGCAAGAAGATATATATGGATGTGAAAATTCATCACAAAAGTGAAAATTTCAATAGCACGTCATTCTATACATGCATTTTTGCATGAGCAACACCACATGGAACAATTGATTTAATGAGATGATCTAGGAGCATTTAACTGCTTGCCAGCGAAAAGATGAAATGGGATTATCATAGTGGGCTCATAAAATTTTTTAAATAGGTGCAACCACCCAAGGGTAAAGAAATCTGGAATATTATTGGAAGATAATAAAAAGTTCAGAACTGTGCAACAGGAATAATACAATAAAAAGACTTGGTGTATGGTGATTACAACATATTAATGGCTGCAGCATGCTATAAGCATTTATAATTATTAGACATGATTAATAAGGAGGAAGTAGGAGGCTCGGCCGAACTAGATGTGCTGAAATCTGAAGACCGGATGTAGCTCTCTAGAAAAGGCACCTTGGACTTCTATGTGCTTTGAAAAAGAGAAAAAAGAAATATACAGTGTTTGTAAATGTTGATAAGCACTTCTTTAAATGGATCCTTGAAGGGTAAATGCTTGTTCATCATGATTGTGTATTATTTCTATTAGTTAGAAATATCACTTTCAATCTCTCTCCACAACAAGTTGCCGAGCATCTGATTGTCTCTATATAAGTTTCTGATATGTGGATTTCTCATTCATGTGCAATCTTTATTTATTATGCACTAAAGTTTGTTGATTTGAAGTCTCTTTAGAACCCTATAATATTGTACTTATGGTCATACTTCTAGTTTATCCCTTTGCTCTGTATCTCATTGTCATAATGATTTTGCTGTTATTGATATTCTTGTAAGTTGGAAGTTTAGGATAGTAAGTTTACTGGAATTAAGTTTAGATTGTGCAACTAACTGATTAACTAGTGCTTTTTGTTAATGTCATGGGTTCGAGGTCAAAGTTCCCAAGACAGAAATCGTGCCCTCTGTTAAGAAGTGATATTAGGAATTCATGAAGTTAATGGTTAAGGCTGCTTTGGCATGTTCTTTACGAAATTGAAAAAACAGCAAGAAATAATAGTAAAATTATGATGAGTTGCTTTAATTTTGTGCAGAAATATGAACTGAAGCACGTTGGTAACATTGTCCTGAATGATGTCCAAATTTCTATACCACATTTGTCTGAGTTCAAAGAAAGAGGCCAGATGTTGCACTGTTTCTTTTAAACTATTTGAAGCCTATAAGATGTGTACCAGTAAAATCATGGCTTAGGAGGTCACTCCTAGAAGGAGTTTGTCAGGACAATTTAGAGTTTAAAGATCAGCGTAATAGTTGCCAATGAGCACACTGAATGTGCACACTACTGAGAAAATGAATTGAATAGTGTTGCATAATGCATTCCTTGCTTGGAAAAAAAAGAGAAGAATCAGGCTTTTAACTGACATCATATTATGCCTGTTTTATACAAAAGCATGGACATCCATGTCTTCGACCAGCTTAATTCTTGAACAGCTTGCTCAGTGTTACACATTTCTGCAGGGAAATTCAAATAATAATATAAATAGCACAGCATAGATCTGTATGTATCTCCCAGAAATAGCATCCTAATTTTCAATATTTACTGTGTTGAGAATTTCCCTCTAATAATTCCATTATTGGCTGGCAGATATACTCTATGATTCTTGGTCACCAGCAATGACTGTGAGTTCTGTTTGCATCAGCATTTTGTCCATGTTATCAAGCTCAACTGCAAAGGTAGCTCACCGATACATCCCTGCGTATCACTTGTCACCTACCTATCCCATTATTATAGTTGTATGACTGACTGTGACTGAAACACGTTTCCATGGTTGCAGCAACGTCCCGCTGACAACGATCGATATGTGAAGAACTGTAGGAACGGTAGGTCGCCAAAGGAGACCAGATGGTGGTTCCACGACGACAAAGTGTGATTAACTGGCAATGCTTCTCCAATTGCATAGCTGACGCCCTTGTGAAGGATCCATCATACTCCATTGCCTTCAATGCAGGAGTATCAGGTGATCCTAATCAAGGGTTTGCGACTGTGCCAGTTAATGCGCTGTGGGTACTTGTAAAGAAAAGTAGTAGTATGAATCTTGATATATCATTAGCACTAATAAGTCTATATAGAACTACTATTTGACAAGTACTTGCTAACTTATTAGACCAAGCATTACTGAACTGGGATTTAATCTCCATTTCTGATGAAATTGCTCTTGGCACCTGGTGTTATCCTAGTGTCCGATAGCTTGCATCTATCATGCCTTGCCTTGGTGTAATGGTCGCTTGTGCTTGTTAGCTCGTATCCATAGTCCAAATGTATGCATGTTGTGTTGAAATCTTGCCATTGTGTAGATTGTATCAGAAGGGGAGAATGATCAGGAAGCAATTGTGGAGTTTGTATAAAGCAATGCAAAGGGGGCATTGGCCTACCCTGTTTCATATAAAAGGTTAAGTGGAAGGTTCCAAATTAGGATGGTTAGGAAATTTATTTGTGCTTAGTGTTTGATTCTTGTTAAATTTTAGTTGTTGAGTGATATTCATGGTGGCTTCAAAAAAATGTATTGGCAATGAGCTAAGTACATATTTTTTGGAATGATACTTGTCATGGGTATATTTTTATTAATATTAACAGTTTCAGCTTGTTTACTATTGTTTTTGAGTTTATTGAATCTGTGTTTACTGATTTGAATGGGTGGAATATGTCTCTATTGTTTTTCACCCCTATTGAGGATTGGAAGGATTCATTTGCCTAATTACTTTGATTGGCCTTTCCTATCTGCCAGTTTTACAGCTCCTACTTAATTTATGATCATTTCTTTTTTAGTTAAAAGGAAAATACGATCATTTACATAAGCGTTGCCTCTCATTGGTGGTCAGCCATGGGTCCCAGTGCCTGCCAGCAATAGGAGGGCTTTGTACCGTGTGTTGTCGCTCGGCGGGGACACGGGAGCGGTCAACGTGGCTCGGCACCTCGGACGTGTGAGCGAGAACTCTCCGTAGCCGTCACTGATGTTGGCGCACGCGGTCGTTAGCCCACTCACACCGAGCCACGTCAAATATCCTGATGTGGCACCGCTCTATTGGCGAGACATGGCTTATTATTATTATTGTTCCTAAGAAAAACAACGGTTTCTCTTCCCGTTCGTTCTATACGCACCCCACGGAAACTATAACGATTGGAGAGCAAGAGAGGGTCCCATGTGTTCAGAAGCGGGTGGGTCTGCGGGTTTGGATGAGGCAGGTACAATAAGTATTCGCCTTCGACCGCGGAGGTCAGACGGCAACCGCCGTTTCCTTTTGACGCACCGTTAACGATGGGTTGCGGTCGGCCACCGCGATACGTTCGGAAACTTCCGCATCGGCGTCAAAATCGAAAACCCTCGGCGGAGGATTCACGAACGTTTGCGCTTTCCCACCCGACTCGGAGGATCTTCAGAGCTCGGGTGCGCATTCTAGGGTTTCTTGATGATGGAGAGCGCCGGTGAAGTCGGTCCGAGGAGGAGGCGGTGGAGCTGGGCCGTGGGGGCGCTGATTGCCGTCCTCCTCGCCACCGCTGCGACCTCCAGGAATTCCCCTAAGAGCCCTCTTTTCGGGATCACCAACAAGCTTTGCCCGTGCACCGTAAGCTTTCCTCTGTGTCCCTTATAACCGTTCTTGATGCCGTTTCTCCTTGGAAATTGATGCGAGACGGAGTCTTGGTGATCCGGACTTACGAATTTGATTAGTTCGATTTTTTGTGTTAAGCAATGAGTCGAAGTGTGAATTTTTTTTCTCAGGGTTCGAGGAAGTACACAGGCATCGTGGAAGATTGTTGTTGTGAGTACGAAACCGTGGATGCTCTTAACAAGGAAGTGTTGCATCCCATACTACAGGAGCTTGTCACTACCCCATTCTTTCGATATTTTAGGGTAACTGGCTGGTAGCTTTGATGCACCTCGTGGTTACTGTTTATTCCGTCTTGGTCTCACTTCTTTTACAATTTGCATTTGGGTATGAAGTCACCGAGGGGTTCTTGATTAGAAGTTGATTGATACATGTATGTGGGAGAAACTTGATTTCTGGTATTTTTCGTCGTTGTGTTACATCCGTCGTTCTTAAGAATTGATTGATTCAATAATATGATTTTGAAGTACTCAACCAAATGAAAGAAAAAAAATTGTGAACTTAATTGTACTAGAAAGAGGGAGGTGCTGAATTTTTATCTGAGCTTATCTTCTGTTAAAGAAATATTCTTGATCTTTTTCATTTTATATAGAATTGGTATTGTCTTTATTACCGGTTTATGATTTTTTCATGTCGTTAGGACAATCAAGATAAGTAGATAGTACATGACAAGATAGAGACAAACCCCCTTCCCTTTCTCTATCCCACTTTGCCACCCTTCTCTCTCTCTCTCTCTCTCTGTGTGTGTGTGTGTCTTTCTCTGTCTCTGTCTCTCTTTCTTTTTTTCCTCACCTCTTTTCTGTGTGTTTGTCTGGATATTTATGAGGATGATGATATTCCAGTATCATTTTAAAGAGAATTCCACTGATAAAGTGAGATAACTAATACACAGAATTGATTCCTTGGAGATGAAGGGAATGTCCGAAATAGATTATTACAAAGCTGACGTTCAAAAACCATTTCCCTGTAGTCTCTTGTAGGTTTGGGCTAGTCTGGGGCCATGATTCGCCATTTTTTGCTCTTTGTATTGGTCTAACTAGAAGGCATGCCCTTCTTAGTCAACATATATCAAACAGGCATGGAAGTGAAACTGTACGTTGTTCAAATTCCTTTTTCTGTGTTTTATTTTTGTATCATCCAAAAATTCTGGTGATTTCAAGTCAATCATGTCGGTCTTTTAGACATTCACAAGAAGTTATATCGTTCCCGTATCTACAATAAGGTTGGTTGGTTCTTAAGTTGAATATTCTTTTGTTGTGAAAGACAAATAATGCTAGCTATATTAACTGCCAGTTCCGAAGGCAGATCAGCATTGCAAAATTTTTATCTGACATCTTGGCTGATGTTTCATATGTGACACTTTTGGAGCACTGAAGAAAATATTCTTATTTGCTCACCATGGTGCATTCAGACCCAAATGCAATCTTCATTTATGTTTACTGTAATTGATCTTCCACATCACCTATTGCTGTATATAGCTTTGAATTTGTTTCTTGTTCTTCTCTCCATGTGCTTCATACATTATTGGCATGTGCCATCATCCTAGAACCTAGTAGCATAGATGGAGTTTGATGTCTGCTAATACGTTTTTACATCTGTTGAGGTTCCCATTACTTTTATATCTTACACTCTTTGGTGTATATAATATTTTCCTTCTAATATCACACGTAACAAATAAAGTGTATACTGATGATAGAAGAGCTAGGTCATGATGCCAATTTTCTGGAGATACTGTTTTTTTGTGGCTTTTGTAGTCTGAGTTTTCTCTCTCAGATCATTAGATCTTTTAGAAGGTTAGAAAAGTGTATGCTTTCTTTTCTGAATGGCATAATAGACTTTTGCAAGGTTACAATGAGACAGCATAAACACAGTTAAATTTGATTGATGTTGTAATGTTGTTATATTTGTTTTTAGTCTCCTATTTGTCCGGAAAGATCATTTGAAATGATTAAGCACAAATATTTTAGTTGTTGGAGACATAGACTGTTTTCTTTTGTTGTATTTTATTATTATATTGGCTTGATTGAGATGCCTGCATGAATACTTGTCTTCAGTGCTTGGCATCTTATCCATTTCTCTGTTTGACTATATTGACTCTCATATCAGTTTGCAAGATCATCTCAGATGGCAATATTTTTCCAATACTTGTCAAGCATTGCTGGACAAATTTTCTCAAACATCTGATTCTATTTGAATAAATGATGCAATATGCCAACTAAAAAATGTGTCTTCTTTGTGCTTATTTCAGTTATAATTTTAGCTACATGTAGTTGATCTATATCTTTGCTGTGTCTTGGAAGGTCAAGTTATGGTGCGATTGCCCATTCTGGCCTGATGATGGCATGTGCCGTCTTCGGGATTGCAGTGTCTGTGAGTGTCCAGAAAGCGAGTTTCCAGAACCTTTCAAGAAACCTTTTCATGGACTTTCTGCTGATGATCTAAAATGTCAAGAAGGAAAACCACAGGCTACTGTTGATCGCACACTAGATAGTAAAGTTTTCAGAGGGTGGATTGAAGTTGACAATCCATGGACCTATGATGATGAGACTGATAATGGTAGGACAACTAGCATGGTTGATGCCTCGTTTAGTTTCTGAGTGATTCTCTTTGCTGTAGTTTTTGACTGATCATTGATATCTTCATTAATTACTTACATGTTTATTGGTGCAGCTGAGATGACATATGTTAACCTTCAGCTAAATCCTGAACGCTACACTGGCTACGCTGGTCCTTCGGCCAGGCGGATATGGGAAGCCATTTATGCAGAAAATTGCCCAAAAGGTTAGCTCAATGCAGAGTAACTTTCTAAGCTTGATGTAGTTGCATTTTTTTCTGTGTGACCAACTTCTGCTGGACATTATATATGCTTACATGCCTAATTCCTATTAGCTTCATCTGGATTGTGATGAGTTACCTTTCCTACCTAATAATTTTACCTGACTGATTTTAGTCTATTTGTTCGCAAGTAGTTTCACATGTGAAAGTGAGTCTCTGTTTGAATTCTTACATGGCCTTGATCATCAGTATCATAGTTACATCATACTTCTTGTTTATGATTTTGCAATTGTCATAACTAAGCATTTCATGCTTGCAAGGCTACTATGGCAGTGTAAGCTGTTGATGTTCTTATGGTGCATGCTCATTTTTTCAGATCCATCTGGAGAATTCTGCCAGGAGAAAAGAGTCTTGTACAAGCTGATTTCAGGATTGCATTCCTCCATCTCAATTCACATAGCTTCTGACTATCTTCTTGATGAAACCAACAACTTGGTATTTCAGTCTCAGTCATGTTTATGTTGGTTTTAGGTATGAACTATTTTATAGTTTTTGGTGACACTTTTATTTTTTCCTTGATGACTGCAGTGGGGTGAAAATCTTGAGTTGTTGTATGATCGTGTATTAAGACACCCAGAACGTGTGAGAAACTTATACTTCACCTTCCTGTTTGTTCTTCGTGCAGTGACAAAGGTAATTTGCTTGCATGTTGCAGTTTGCTCCCCTCCCTTTTATAAGAATGCACTAAACACTTTGCAGTTAGTGCCTATAATTTTACTTTAATTTAACATGATTATTGCAGTTTCCTTAAAGGTCTCTTTTCATTTTTGTTCCTCACTGGATCTAGCCATAATTTTCGTTTGTCATTCTCTCTAAATTTGGATTTAAACATGTCATCTACAGATATAGCAGTTATTAAAAACTAAAATATATTACCCTGTTTGTACTCTATTATATTTATCAACATGAAATGCTTTGATCTCCACTTCTTTTTTGAAAAATTACAATTGTAATCCATGGTGTGGTATTACAAGACAAGAGTATCCCTTATATGTTCAACAAGGAACAAAGTACAATTCGGAACAAAGTGATTTAAGGATGAATCACCGTTGTAGAATGTCGGAGAGCTTTTTTCCTTAATACCTATATGTTTTATTTACTAATAACGAATTTTCCTTTAAAATTTTGAATGTTTTATTTACTACAAGGTTTGGTACTTTTTTATCCTAGTTTAGATGTAATGATGTATGATTATTTTTCACTAACTTAAACTTTATCTTTTTGCTTTTCATACTCCTACCTATAAGAATACCTTCTTCTTGACTTCTTTTTTCATGTCTACTAGAGTTTGGAACCCATAGTTTTGTCATGGATCAACTTTACCCAAATTGGCGAGTATTACATTGGCACTGTTTGTTTCATTGTTTAAATTTTGTGATACGCAACTGAACTATGCTTCTGTATGTTGCTAATCTGTTGATATTGGTGCGGGTGCACAAGAGTCTATTTCTGGCATCTATTAGTTTTCTGCTACTTATAAAGTTCACACATTTTAGGCTTCTATGCTTCATTTGTGCATCTATCCAACAGCATTCTTCTTCTTTATGTCTCAAGGCTGCAGATTATCTAGAACAGGCTGAATATAACACAGGCAACATGGAAGAAGACCTTAAAACACAATCATTAGTGAGGCAACTGGTCTACAACCCCCAATTACAAATTGTTTGCCCGCTACCATTTGATGAGGCTAAACTATGGCAAGGTGAAAGTGGACCTGAACTAAAGCAACAGATTCAGCGGCAGTTCAGAAACATTAGGTTTAAATCTTAACCTGATATATCATGACTCTAAAAACTGAAACCGACAAACTTACCATGTCCATGATCAATTGCAGTGCATTGATGGATTGTGTTGGATGTGAGAAATGCCGCCTTTGGGGAAAGCTTCAGGTTCTTGGTCTCGGCACAGCTTTAAAGATTCTGTTTTCTGTGGATAATGATAACCTCATTAATCAGCAGGTATGCCTTTTTCATATCTATTGGTTATGCACTAGGATAATGCTTATATTCAGTTGTAAGCAAATTTGGGATTAATGTTGGTTTTTTGACTCATCAGTTATGACATAGCAAATAGGATATGAGACATCAAGCTCCAGATTTGTCCCTCTTCATTATCTAAATGTGGCTTGCTTCTGATTTTCCATGCCATTTTTATAAACTATGATTGCAGAGACAAAAATAGGTCAGCTATGTTGTTTGTTACTTTGATGAATGTTAAAGAGTACATGATTATGTGGTTTTCAAAATAAAAAGAAGCTTCGGAGTTAGTTCTTTGATGCAAACAGAGGAAAAAAATGTATTCTGGTGCTAAAGCGCCAAATTCCATGGAATGGGCAATATTAAACAACTTAAAAGTCTTAATTTGATACAGAATATTATCTTTTTATTAATTTTTTTGTCTTTTTCTTAGGTCTTTTGGATTTAGTATTTTTTGTATAATGATTACTTTTAAGGAATGATTCAAAATGCATAGGCAACATTGATGACAGCTCCTTGTTCTTTCAGCTCCAGCTTCATCGAAATGAAGTTATTGCTTTGGCAAACCTTTTAAATAGGCTTTCGGAATCTGTTAAATTTGTCCATGAGAAGGGGCCATATGTTGAGAGAATCATGGAGAAAAAGATTTCTTCATATACCAGCAAGAGTAGCTAGTGGGTGACAATAACCAAGAACTCTTGTAGTAAGATTTCTTTATCCCCTACTGTCCATACGAAAGATTGCATTGGGCTGGAACTCAATCTTATCTTCATTTTTAAATTAGAGAATGCTTATTATGTTATTTCTATGAATGCTATACATTTAGAGCATTGCAGTGGTAGTGATGCTGAGCACCCTACCAATCAATTCTGAGGTAATATGGGGAGATCAAGGACTTCATGGCGTTGAAAGAAACGAAGATGTAAAAATTTTCCATACAAGGCTGAGTGCTAGCATTCAAGACCGAGGCATCTCAACTAAGAACAATATTGCTGCCAAGCTTCAGATGTATTCACCAGCTAAGTTGAAGTGCTTATGCTGCATACAAACTAATTGTTACAAATTACTTGCCGAAATATATCATTTCTATATGTTTCTAAACCTACAAAGAGCAATTCCTGTATAATTGAGATATTGCTGATTGCACACCATACATGATTATTCTTTGCATGATTTTTTGGGAATTGCCATTTTCTGTTTCAAGTTGGGTTTAGATGAGTAAAAGGGTTTAGTAGTGATGTTTCCACTGCTAAATGTTTACCTTGAGATGATTTGAATAGCCAAATTCAACTTTCATGGTTACAAAAGGAAGTCTTTGATCGGTACCAAATCCAACACACCAATATATAAAGATTTCTCCACAATAGCTAAACTCGATAGCAATCTTAAGTTTCTAAGATTTATCTTGTGATAGCTTCAGACACAAGACTTGCAGGTTTGAGAAGGATCAACGCATGCATTCAAACTTTTACAACCTAAATTGCAAATAAGCAATGAAGTGATGCTACAGCCTGCCCTCTTGGTTAAAAGTAATATTGCTGGACTCCATTCTGAAATTACCCTTCATGTTTGAGTCTAGAGAGCAAGGTGAATGGACCAAGCTCAATCTTATCCTAAAATCATGCTTAGTGTAAGTGTCACTATTTGTCGAACTTTGGTGTCCAAATCCTTAATTCTGTCAATCACTTGGGTAAGCATGAATATATATATACTGGGAAAGTTGAAAGGCCACACCCCAGCCTTCCTTTAGTTGAAGTTAAGACCGGTACTGGAATACAATTTCACATTCATACAGATGGGAATACAACCATCACATAACCAAATATTATCCAACTTGTCTTCCTGTTCCATCAGAGCAAAAGATTTCAGATTATCTGAATGTTTCTTATGCTTGTGCTGAGGATGAACAGTATTTGAGCTATATGACTTTGACAGTTTTTTCATGCATGAAACATTGATTAACCATATATAGGTGACAAAAAGTGAGATTGTCAAGGAGTGAAGGGGGGGAAAATGGACATGGATTCACTCATGCTAATTTTCCAAGACTTGAATGAAGGAGTAGCTAGATGAACAGAGAGGATGGGAAATAGAGTCCATTTTTTTCCATGTATTTGACCCCTCCAGCTGTTCTTGTTTTCAGAGAGAAATGTGGTCAGGTCAGAGTTTGTAACTCTTGCAGTCATGAAGGAAGCAAGGAGGAAATGAACTCTTTGTTTGTCTCAAAATGAATGGACTCCCCCCATCGATGAAAGTGCTGTTGCACCGTGGGATGGAAGACAATTAAGTTTCCCAACTTGGAACCTGGACCTGCACTGATGATGCTGACCATTCTCAAACACAGGAAGAGTGTCATATTTATGACCCAGAAGTTGGCTTCCAGGAAACTTAATGGCACACCATGGGAAGTTACAGTTGTCAGACAGCTATCTGTCCATTGCATAGTTGGGATATATGTAATCCAAGTAAAACTGCCCTGCATACAACTCACTTCCTTTATCAAGAAAGATGTTCTTGTTTCAGCTTTTGGTATTCTGCACTGGAAAATAAACTTCATGTGACTGTATGAGGTTGATTTTGCCTTTCTGATATATCCCATTTAATGTCATTTCTGTTGCATTTTGCACAGTCTATTATGTGTATGTGAATGGCAAAGTCATTCACCAGACAAGTATAGAATAATGATCAATTTCATATTCAGATACTCTGCCAACAAAAGGATAACATTATCACAGGCTTTCTTTTGTGCCACACAGTCATATTGGCACTGTTTAGAAACAGGAAGCAGTCTGATTTCATGTGCTCTGCTGGTTGCATGCTGTAGCCTAATAGTGTGATCAACAATATCATTTTATTTGGAGAAATTGGAATCCTTTCTCCAATGTAAATTGCAGAATAGTTCTAATTGAGCCTTGAGGTGAATGCAAAACATGTATGTCATATATCAAGCTATTGAATATTACTAACTTGTCAATTAAGCTTTGCCAGAAACAGGGCAGTGCATCATCTGTTGCTTCTCGTGAGAAGGTGAGGGTGCAGTCACAAGAAGTATAAGAACCGAAGAGAGTCAAATTACAGAGAGAGGACATGTCACAGTTGTAGGCAGATGTTGCTTTCTGCTCACAGAGGTAAAAGATGCCATTCCCACCTTATGCCAACAACATCTGGCAGCTCTTTTACTTTCCCTGCCTCATCTTTCACTTTCACATCCCTGTTTGATTCACGTGAGGGTGGCATGCAAAGCCATGCAAGGAGACCAGCTGTTTTGACCGGTGTGACACAAAGCTCCACTTGGAAATTCCATTTAAAGCACCATGTCTAGGCCACCATCTGCCTGTCATGTGTTTGTGTATGATCCCTTTGATGTATCAGTGTTCTTGTTCTTTTGGAAGGTGAAATCAGTCATAAATTGTTGGCAAATACATCATGAGAAATCCTTCTAACTATTCTCACTGCATGACATCATAGTTCATTTCAGGGGAGTTCCTCCTCCACATCTTGTGGTGCTGATCATCACCCACTCCCATCTTACTTCACTTCAAACAATGTGATGATTAAGACGAGGATGAGGTTGAGAACCCAACATTTGTTGCAGGAAAAAGAGATACCATTTCCAAGGAAAGATTCAAGGCACAAAACAAGAACAGGGTGTGCAGTTCTTGTTCTTGAACTGTGAGAGACATACAATTCAAGATGGCAGCATTGCTGTGGTGAGATAGCCACTGCATCCAAACACACCTCTGCGACTCGGTGCATTAATGGGTGGAATCAATCAAAGCAAGACCGGACCGGGCGGTCCGGCCGGGTCCGACAGCAAACCCAAATGGTCCGAAAGACTTCCGACCCCCAGCCCTCACCTGCCTGGCACGTGACCGGAGGGCATCTGGGGGATCCTGCCACCGTCGGTAATCTCACCTCCCATCTTTCTCCACTCTTCTTCCCTCGGTCGCCCCAACTACAAAAACGCCCCTCTGCTTTCTAGAATTGCATATAGACCCCTGTAGAAGCGGGATTCCTCCTGTCAAGCTTCATGATTCGTGCAAAAATCTGACGCATGATCTTATTGAATGATGAGGTTTTTGGAGCACTTATATGTATTCCTCCAAAACATAAAAACTTAATAGTATAATATTGTAGCTAATTTTGGTTAGAATTGATTCTAAAATATTTTAAAACATTGCATAAAATCTTCTAAAATTAAGTAATATTTCATGGAACAAGGAATTATATGGATCTATTGAACTGACAAGAGCATTTTTTATTTTAAATTTTAAATAATTTTAATCTCATTGGTAACCATGGTTTGCAATGGTTAATCTGAGTTTACTTGGATGCAGAAAGTGGAGATTTATGTACTTGAAGGGATATATATATATTATATATATTATATATAAATAATATCTAAATATATGATAGGATAGTATGTCATAGTAAAATATGAAGAGGCAAACTATGCTATTTCCAAAATTTTGAAGGATGGATATGTAAAATCCGATACATATATATGCAGTTTAGTACTTAAAGAAGAATATTGCAATTTGTGAGGGGCATAAAGTAAATAAGGGGGCTCGAATTGGGGGGTGAGTGGAACTCTTGACAGCAACTACACAGAGACAGAGAGAGAGAGGAGCGGAGGAAAGCCTCCAAGAAAACGCAAAGCCCGAGAACACCACCTTCCCCCTCTCATTTCTTGATCCTTGTCTCTTACACATTAGATAATCAAAACCAGAGTAGCCTGGGTGTGGGTGTGTCTTCTGCAGGGCAGGGTGCGGGCTTGAGAGATGCAGCAGCACCTCATGCAGATGCAGCCCATGATGGCAGCCTATGCCTCCCCGAACCAAGTCACCACTGATATCATCCAGCAGGTCGCCCTTTTCACCCGCCCCTCCTTCGGAATCCACTCGTTCAGTTTTGTAATGCAATGAATGTTAATGTAGTCCTTGTTCTTGTTGCTTGTGGCTAGTGTGAGGTTGCATTGGATGAATGGTCTTTTTGGTGTTGTCTTTTGTGTAGGCTGTTGGTTTTCCCTGCTCCCCGTTTCATACTTTTCATGTTGGGGCCGTGGTTCTTCGAGGGTTTGGTGGGAAATGGGTGTCTAGTCTTATTGGTTGTTTGTTTAGGCTCTTGTATTGTATTGTGATTCTTTTGAAAGATGGATCCTTTTTTTAATTTCTTGACCTGCTTTTGGGAAACAAGTTTGGTGCTTTAATGTTCCACTCAGAAAATGGTATGACTGTTTATGGTAGCTTGGTGAAGAACATCTGTTCTGGTGCATTTTTAAACGGAAATACTTGGTGTTTTGAGCAAAATTTGACCTGAAAGTCAGGTCTTTGATTGTTAACAGGGGAATGGTTCTCTCTTCTTCTAGGTTCCTTGGCTAAGCGTTCTTGTTTTGATGCATCTCAATCTTGGATTGATTTTTAGGCAACCAAGTTTGTGTTCTGCTGGTCCTTTTGAAGACTAGTTTCTTTTTCCTTGCTCAGGCTTTTTGGTGGCAGAATTTGGATGGGTTGCTTTTCTTTTTATTTTCTTTCTTTTGGTGAATTTTTATGCAGGTTTCTTTTTTTCTTTTTTTGGTTCATTGGTTGGTCTTTTTGATCTTTCTTGTCTTGTAAATTTTTAAGCTGATTAATGCCATTTGTGTAAGATGGTGTTGAGTTCTTTGTTTGGTTCAGGGGGGCTTGGATTGCTTTATTCGAGGAAAATAGTGTACCATTAGAGCTATGTCTTTGTAAGTTGGGATTTAGTAGTTCGTTGGTGGGCAAGATGGGCTTCCTTCTTTAATTGTATGTGGCATGTATGCTTTTGGTTGTTTCACTGTTCAATGGATTCGTGTAGTTTTGTGGGGCTCTTATTTCATGAAGTTTGGTGGCTCATCATGCTATGTTATTTTATTTTCTTTATTTTCCCATTTCACTTGTCTGTCAACTTGGTTAAGACTTTGTATCAATAAATCTCACTGTTGAGCTTCCATTGATCCTTCAATATTTTTGTAGATTTATCATTTTGATCCACAATATGCTTGATGGTTTATTAAGTCAAGATCCTCCATTTGAAACATGATTTGATAAACTACAATTTTGTCTTCTCCATATCTCTGTTAGCGCTATGTAAGCTGAAGTATTTGTTTGCTAGGGTTACAATCCAGCTTCTTGTTCTCTAGTTGTCTATTAACTTCAATTATGATGCTCGTCTAGTTGCCTTTTAGCCTGTTGTAAATATCTCATAAATATTATAGATTTTTTATATCATCACCCTTTTGATCTACTAGAGTAAGTTGGAGACATGGTTTGGCAATGTAGTGTCAAAGATCTTGTTCTGATAGTTACATATTCCTTGTTTGATGTCTGCTTTGTATGTGAATCATAAATTCTATTATACTTTTTCTTATGTTAGAGATGACAATGAGGCTGGTGACTAAGATGTCGACTAAAACTGGTTACTTGATACATCATTTAAATCTTAAAGATAACATCTTATATAATAATTAGTCTTATCATTATACCATAATAGAATATTTAACTTTTATGGTTAATTATATATATATACATACATATATATATATATATACATACATATATATATATATATACATACATATATATATATATATACATACATATATATATATATATACATACATATATATATATATATACATACATATATATATATACATATATATATACATACATATATATATATATATATACATACATATATATATATATATATATATATA